TTAAAAACGATTCTTTCAAAAACCTCTGACCAAAGTGAAGATTTGCGAATCCTCAGTTTGTGCGTCTGCATGTGAATGTCAATAACCGGGTTTTAGGTTTCGACACGTCACCGCCGGCGACTAAATATGTTCTTACGTCACATACGCGACCTGTGTTTACATTTTGGAAACAGCATGGACGCCCTCAGAACTGTGCTTGTCTCTGGTCCAGGCCCAGATACCGCTCCATGTACAAGAACACAAGTGAAGGACGGCGTTAAGGACGGTTATTTTACGACGTCTGATTGGATAGGATTTGGAGAACTACTGCCACCTAAAGGTTTGGCAGCTTATCAGTGTGCTTAACAACACACCGATGCGGTCAGGTGTGGATGATTTTTTTTTTCTAGGATATTCGGGGGAGTATATTCGGTTTTATAAAAACCCTGCTACGTGTGGACAAGGCCTCAAAGTTTCCTCAAACCCTGAATTACTTCCATTATTGGTGAGTCTCTTTCCACACGGCGGTTTGAAGTCTTATTTTGTGCACCTTTCAGTTTGTAGCGGATGTGAAATTGTGGAAATGAACCAGAGAGGCGTTATGTAATTCCACCTGCAAACTGTGTCATTTGTGCTCTTTGTGATGGTTTGAACCGAAACTGGTGGAGAAAAAAAAAAAACCTTCTCCGAATCGCTTCAGACGACTCCACATGCGTCACACCCATCTGTTAGCATGCAGCTCAGACCGGCGCTGTGTTGAAAGTGATACAGAAATATTACTCGGTCACAGCCGCCTTTTACTGAAAAATGACCAGAGTGCTCATTCAGACATGAAGTCAGCAAGTTCAGATACCATCAGATTAAAGGAAATCATCTGAGAGGAGCTTATCTCTCTGATAAATGATGGAATCTGTACGTATGTCTGTCTGTCTGTCCGTAGCCTCTCTGGGCAAATGTTTATCCGATTTGCTTCACGCTTGGCAGATGTATTGCTGGAGACCTAAAGAGATGCAGTGCTGGTTGGGAAGTTCTTAAGACGAGCAGTTCTTAAGACATTTGAGACGCTACACAATGATTACGACATGGCAAAAACGTCTGTGACTAAAAGCTGGAGAGCAAACTGCAGCGCTAAACATATAAGATGGATGTAGCCTCCAAATGTGAAGCCAAAGCGAAAGTGCCTTAAACCTGCATTGCTTTTAATGGCCAGCAGGGGGCGACTCCTTTGTTTCAACTGTATAGAAGTCCATGAGAAAATGACCCTACTTCTCAACTGATTTACTACCTCAGGAAACATTTTCCTACTTAGTTTGTGGTCTCACTTTTTAGTATTAAGTCTCCTTCAATACAGCACGAAGGAAAGTTTGTAAATTATGGCGTCGTTTAGAGCAAAACAGACGATAAAGTTGGGTTTGTTTGGGGCGTGGCTACCTTGTGATTGACTGTACTGGAAGTGTCCTCGACTTCTTCGTCACATCATCAGCGGGCGGTGGCTACTCTCATCTGTTAAACACACTTCAGTCTGCAGTTTTTACTTGCCCACAGTCATTTAAAGTGTGTAAGACAGATACCCAACAACGTGGCGCGCTGCAAGTACCACAAATTGGAAACGGCTTATCGCGCCGGTACAGCTGCTTTGCACGAGCACTCGGAGCGAAAGCGTCCTGGAGTGCTTTGTAGAGTCCGCGGCGACAGGCGGCACCCTCCTGGTTGGTCTTTGTGGCCACCCATCGGTGTGGATAGAACAGTTTGACAGTCGGGAAGGGGGCGGGGCTTGGCAAATGGTCAGGCAACTGTGAAGCGTGAGGATAAAGTTCCTACTTTGGCTTCATTTTTAACCAAACACGACTTCTTTATTCATTGCATTCATTAACTTTATGTAGTTCTTCAAAACCCAAAAGCTTTAAGATTGCAAGACATGCATTAAAATGTAATCTGGAGATCATCCGACAACACGAGCCAATAGAAATGCAAAAAAAACTATTCAGTATGCCAGTGCACAACATTGCCCACAGTTCCCACAGCCCCTGTCCCCTGCTAGTCGGTGCTTTCAGCTGTATTTCTTCTTTTCTAATTTAGATTTCGCTGCATACATCTTTAATGCGGGGGGGAGGACTGCCACTTTTGAGACACTCTGCATTTTAAGAAAACTGCACGTTAATAATTAAATATCGCGTAATGAAGACTGGTTCGCTCGGCGGCAACAGAAGCCATTTGCAGCCCCTGACAGAGAAAAAAAAACACCGAATAAATGTGTGACATCAAGCTAAGTGTTGCATGATTACTGCTTCGGTGCTGGGTTGTTTTTTTTTTTCCCTCGGAGTGATTCGAAGGTAATCTGACATACGAGCGTGTTCATCATCCTGCTTTTAGTGGCCGGCATTTACTTTTAAATTCAGAGCTCTTCAAAAAACTAGAGTGGCCGCCTACGATAATATGAGCAGTGGCATTGGCGTGTTTTGTTTCTATTATATCAGACTTTGGTGGCGGTTCGGGAACGTCGGCGTCTTAATTATCTGAATTAAGGGTGTTAAAATTTAGGTTGTGCGAGGTTAGGCAGTGGAGTCGTCAACTTTTGCTGGAGTTTTTCTCACCCCGGAATGCCGATGAGGACAGTTTCTCACAAGAGTTCCTCATCGACGGGGCCAAGGTTGTTCACTTTAACTGCATAGTTGTGGAGCTGAGAAAAAAAACAGCCTCGAGTTCAGGAGGGTAGAAGTGCGCGTTGGATGAGGCACTTTTCATTTACAAGCGAATTCACACAGCCGCGCAAATAATACGACAACAACGCGACAAAAGGGATGAGCGTGATTCACCGGTAAAAAGGTACAAAAGCTTTTTCGCCGGAGCTTTCAGGATACTTTACGCCACAATTAACTTCCTGTGAAAACACACGCGTGACAATCATAACGCTGGAGGCTTAATTTAATATTTCACTCTGGTTTCTAAGCGTCGGCTGCCACATGGTTGGGTATCCGCTCTTCTGACACACACACAAAAAAATTCAATTATCTACTCGGTAAGAGGAGCGCATCTCATCAGCTGACTTAATAGGTGCTATGTGGTTATGTAAGAGCCGGCTGTGTTGCGTCATGTGTTTTCTGTAACTTCATTAAAAAGTCTTTGCTGCAGCGGTCGACGTTTATCAGCAGCACAAACGGTCGATTTGACACAACGGCAGAATGTCGAATGAATGAAAAGTTGCCCGCTCTCGCCAGCTACAGGCTACAACGCTGATATTATTAATCTATACACGGCAGATAAACTAACGTCAAATGACATCCGGAAAGTTTTCCGTTCATCACAGACTTGATGAGATCCAGCAGCCTCCAGCCAAAACAAATCACATCTGCTGCGACGCTCCTCCGCAGTCAGATACCATCACAAAACCTGAAAAAAAAAACAATTCCCCTCTTCTTAAATAGTCTCATTTTAACCATTTAAGTGATTTATTCAGCGCAGTGTTGTGC